CACGTTCCGAATTCTGACTGCACTATCAATTTATTTATTGTACACGACCTGATGTAATTTGATTTTGGCTTTCAACTAAACAAAAATATGGCGCTCAGTGGATGCGCTCTCACTGTTTGGATTAGGCACTACGATGATTATTTGATGGAGCATGCACATTAAAAACGTAGACTGTGAGGATGTTTGACGCGAATAAGCACGAAGGAGAGCAATACTTGGTGGAACGAAAACCTTTTCGAAAGAAAATCAATTGCATTGAAGGACCGGGATAATAAGCATGTTGATTCTGGAAACGTGTTTCAGATTTCAAAAGGAAACAAACCAAAGGGACAGACCTAAATCATCTGTTCTGTTTAATGAAAGAAACCATGTGTGAATCCAGCTTCACAGATGACAAATTTGTCTTCTGCTGCTGATTTCGTCCTACAAGACTGTCACGTTCTCTGTTCCCAGACATGTCGTTATATCATTACTATCCTAGCCCACTTCATTGTTTCCAATGAGTTCAACGGAATACCATTCAATTGTTACACAGTGCTTCTAAGCAAACCACAATGGATTCTAGCGATTGGTTTGAAATATCCCTTTTCGTTGATTCGGTCAGTCGCACGCCGCCCAACGTGTGTTCCATTTTTCTGTCAGCTTTTTGTGAAACATTATGTTAGTTAAACAAATACAAGACATTTATATGGTATTTTGAGGATATATATCATGTCTTAAATATTTACTGATTACTTCGTAAAATTAATCATATGATTCTGTAATGATTGTAGTGGTAGTAGTAGTAGTATGTACGGAATTCGGAACACGAACCACGTAATAGGAGTCACCGGACACGAATCAGGGATCAGCTATCGCGGACTGGATTACGAAAGCACTGGACGACAATGGTACGAGCTCGCGATATTCCAGGTGAACGAGACGCGACGAAAAGGCCACAAGGATGGTAGTGCGTAGTTCGTTTATCGAAAGAAATGATGGTGATTAAATAATATGCACAGAAGAAGGTAATTGGTTATCTAGGCTTCTGCCAATCATATTGCAGTATTACTTGCATACTTCTGCTTCTGCCTGCGCTGTCTCGAATTGGCTTGCACGATCCACCAATAGCGAGTAGTCAGAAGCTCTACGCGTGTCACTGACGTCACCTTTCAAATTTGATTGATTGCAGGTGTCCAGAAACTGTAACGCGCCGCTCCAGAGTAGGCGTTTTCACGTAGGCCTGGATCACCACAGATTCCCATAGATCCCGGTAACAGATATTTTGCTTCGGTTTTACTTTTACCTCAATGTCGACATTACAGTAACCAATTTCAAGTGTTACAATAAATGAATACCCGTTGATAGTTTCTTTAGCCTTCACGGTCCGTGAAATGTCACACATGTCCGCATTTTCAAGTGTAAAGTAAAACGCTTTTCTTTCCCGTTCGTAACTGACCGGTTGATCCGTCATTTGGGACGTAGTTAACCTCGCTAACCCAGGCTTCACCAGTGGGTGGTGACGATGATTATGACGGCGACAACGATGATGATTAATTACGTTTGCGTTAACCACAAAAATGCACAATTTGTTCAGTGTCTGATTTTTGCTTACGTGGACATATTTGGCAAGTAATTTATAGCTCACCTTGTCTTTCAGTTGAGCCGTCAAATCACCGATTTGTAGATCCGACCGTTTCAATTCTTCCTTGAGTCGTTCAATCTGCGGTAGCAGTAGCAGTAGAAATAACCAGGGATAAAATATCGATTGGCAAGTCTACTTCCAGTTAAAACTATTACGAAAAACAAAACAGTGTGTCAAAACACCCGTCTTGCTATTCATATTCCAAGCGAAAAGCAAACGAATTTTGACTAGTTGCAAAAAACACTGATATAGCAGGAACAAAACAAACAAAATTGAATTTCAGTAAAATATTCAGAAATTTTAGAAGCCTGGGAACGGACAGAAATAACGAGGGAACACAAGCTGTACTCACCTCTTGTTGATTCTCAGGCTGAAAAATGAATGGGGAAATTTACGATTAGAAATGTGAACGAAAGATCATTGAAAATGAAGTTCTCATTTGCCACCCTTGATCTCCTAACAGTCATCAAGAGAGTGAACCCTATTCTACTAAGCTTATTAGTCATTTACGAAACGAAAACCGGTATAAATACTCGTCCACGATAGATGCAATGTGATTCGAATGTGAAAAGACTAGTGTGCTATCGGTTTGGTCTCGTCGCTCATCTGGTAGAGCGTGCGTTGTACAAATGGGTAGGCGGCGTCCATGTGTGCGTGGGTTCGAATCCCAACGAGGCTGCTGAAAGTTTTCCAATCTCGACAAACAAACTTCAATCTGACATACAATCATTTGAAGATGTAATGTTCTCAAACATGAATCAACAACAACGATAACCAATGTGAGTCGTTCGATTAAGATACCTTGGTAAACTTCACAATAATTCACGCGAGGGATCACGTTGCTGGCGTCCATATACAGCTAAGCGTATATTGTTTGCAGCCTTGATTCAGGCATGATGTAGTGAAGTGGGAAACGGAACTGTTTATACTGTAATTGCATCAATTGGTTTCACTAATGTACATCTTCTGACCTTGAATCAATTCCTTCTTAATTTCACACGCGTCTGAGGCCAAACTGCGTGATAAGCAAAACACAGTATACTAATCTCTATAAAAAGAAAAACGTTCCATAATTCACCTCCGAAAGCCTCTGTATGATCGGGGGTGGATGTCTAGGGTTGTGGCTAATCAACCTTCCCTTGCACCTCGCGAACTGCTCCCATATGACCAAGCGTCTCAAATGGACTCTGTTGAGGAAGCTCTACTCACCGCCTTCTCGTGGCGGAGGTGTTTCCCCATTAAAGTGAGAGGATGAAAAGCCGATATCCGAGGCTATAACCGGGTCGGTACACCATTGACAGTTCACCTCGGGGAGCTGGCTAAGGACTCTGATTCCAAACCAACCAAGAGGAAGCGT